TTGTTTTCGATTTGATAAATAGCTAATGAAGAGCTTATGTGGAGTTCCCTTATTCCTATACTCTCCAAGGTTTCCAACAACAGTGTATGGCTTACTGTGTCAAATGCCTTGGCGAGGTCAAGGAAAACACATAGGACTGGATCCCCTGAGTCTACTGCTTGATGAAAATTCGTGAGCAGGTTGCTTATAGCATCATTTGTTGATTTTCCATCCCTGAATCCGAATTGGCTGTCCGATAGTAATTTGAATTTAGTTAAGTATTTATCTAATCTATCTTTCAATATTTTTTTAAAAATTTTTGCTAAATTTGTTATCAACGTTATCGGCCTGTAGTTGATTGGTAGTGATTGGTCTCCTTTTTTATGTAGCGGTATGACCACAGACTATTTAGATTCTGAGGGAACACAACCGGCACTTAACATCATGTTAATTAAATATGATAGTTGATGTGATATTTGTTTGGAAATCAATTTCAATGTTTCAGCCTTTATCATGTCATATCCTGGAGCCTTGTTGTTTTTGAGGGTCATAATTTTGTTTTCGATTTCAATGTGGTTCGTTGGCGTTATAAAAAAGATTTGGATGTTGGATGGAGGGGTTCTGTTTCATTATGAGTTGTTATTTTTTCAGCCATTTTCATACCTATATTGACATAATAATCATTGAAGATATTTGCAATATCTAAGTCATTGTCAACAACTTTCCCGTCATCATCATGTTTTTTTTTTATCTTGACTACCTTTTGACGGGATAATGGAATTTATTGTTCTCCAAAGGTATTTGCTATTATATTTATTTTGACTAATTTGGTCTTTATAGTAATCATTTTTTGTTTTTTTTTTCATCAGTAAGTTGAGACGATTTTAATAGTAATTGTACTGTTCCCTGTATATATCTGGATTAGCTTTGAATTTTTTGAATAGTTCATGTTTGCGATTTATTGATTGTAGAATGCCAGTTGTTATCCAACATTTCCTGCCTATTTCTTTCTTTTTTTGTTTGATGGTAGTAGTTATATTTTGTAAAATACTACTGAGCGTAGCTACGAAGGCGCTGAAGGGCCACTTGTACTTTTTTTTTAAATCCCGACTTTAAAGTCGGGGGTCCGAGATTAAAGTCGGGGGTCCGAGATTAAAGTCGGGGGTCCGACTTTAAAGTCGGGGGTCCGAGATTAAAGTCGGGGGTCCAAGATTGACGTCAGGGGTCCGAGATTTAAATCGGGGGTCCGACTTTGAAGTCGGGGGTCCGACTTTAAAGTCGGGGGTCCGAGATTAAAGTCGGGGGTCCGAGATTAAAGTCGGGAGTCCGAAACTGAAGTTAGGAGCTAGATTATATTCGTTAAATATGTGGACAGAAATAAATAATTTCCATTGTTACTCATCAGTTTGACGTCAGCAACATGCTCCTGAATTTTCTACATGTACTCGAGAAACACCCTGTACATTTATGTACAAACAATAATTTTACATCCATTGGATAATCCTCAAATGAGGATCAGTCAAAATCCTCCTTTTTGGATGTGCACTGAATGTCAAATAATGGATCACACCTGTACGATCATTATCGTACGTATAGGCCAGGGTGATTGTTTATATTCCACTTAATAGCTAAGAATCTCATTTGTTTGTTCAAAGGGTGCAAAAAGATTACAATACAAAACATATATTTTCACAAATGAACTACCCTGAATGTCATTCCGTCCTTGGGTGGAGCTCAGAAAGATGAGTTCAATGATATATGATTACATTTGTAGGTATGAGTTAACCCTTCCGGACTATTTCCATAATCTTCTTCAATAAATAGCCAAATTTCAAAGCCTTATGAAAACGTTGTGAATCAAGTTTTCAATGCGCAGTTTTCATTATGAATTAACTAATTATATATGTTATATTGATATTTTGTCAATATAAAGGATATTCGAATTAAACAAAAGTGATGACGTATTTTGCAAACCGCGATCATTTCCTCGGAATATTCGAATGTATTTAATTTCATTCTTGGATACAGCTAAGAAAGACGAATTCAATGATATATGATAGAATGGGTCTGAGAACACCCGTTTCGGATTTATCCATTAAGTCTTTAAAGACTTCAAAGTCGGACCCCCGACTTTAATCTCGGACCCCTGACTTTAGAGTCGGACCCCCGACTTCAATCTCGGACCCTCGACTTTAATCTCGGACCCCCGACTTTAAAGTCAGACCCCCGACTTTAATCTCGGACCCCCGACATTAAAGTCAGACCCCCGACTTTAATCTCGGACCCCCGACTTCAATCTCGGACCCCCGACTCTAAAGTCGGACCCCCGACTTTAATCTCGGACCCCCGACTTTAAAGTCGGACCCCCGACTTTAATCTCGGACCCCCGACTTTAATCTCGGACCTCCGACTTCAAAGTGGGGATTCAAAAAAAAAAAGTATAGGTGGCCCTTCAGTGCCTTCGTACGTAGCAACAAAAGAGCTAGCAGTTTTTTGCACATCTTTGAAGTTATAAAATCTTGTCCAATTGAAATTCAACAAGTCTTCCTTGACTCTCTCATGATTAATACATTTTTTTAATTTAGTATTTTCTTATATATATATATATATATCGACTAGTAAATAGTGAGGTTTTGCAGCAAGTAAAAGAGAACTCTTTGAAGATTATCCAAGCTTTCGGAATTTAATTGATTCCATCATCAGGGCATACTACAATAATTATTGTCAGTGATAATATAAAAGTCAAAATTAAATTGTACTTACATCTACGTGAGGATGATTACTATGATGTTAACAATAATTTTCAAAAATGAATTGTGATACATCATCTAGGAACGAAGTTGTTTGTAAAGTTATAAAACAATTAAACAATTAAAATAAAACAGTAGTAAAGTTACAATCACACATGTTAAAAACTTGAACTTGAACTTGAACTTGAGCTAGCTAGTCATGGACACCATGTGGCCGGATATGAAAAAATTAATGAATGAATGACAATTGAAATTAGGTTAGAATGTTGACAGTATTGACAAGACAAGTACTATCAGCAGTACCAACTATTGTACCAACCGTAAAAATTGTGGCAATTTTGAAAATGATGAAATGGAAGTTATAATTCAGAATTATCAATGGAATTAACCCTGAAGGGGTTGATGTCTAATGTCAATAAATAGGCATAAATTTCACTTAGATAGTTGATGTCTGTTTTTTTATTCATATTGTTGGCCTCTTGATAGATGCAAGCCATTTCTAAAAAGGACCTTTTGGTCAAATTGTTCTCAGAAGCTAAGATTTTAACATTGTCATAATCCATATGATGGTCAAATTGGTTAACATTATCTGCTAGAGCACATCTTTCTGGGTGTAATCTACTATCACTTTTGTGTGAGGTAATTCTTGCCTTAAGGGCTCTTGATGTCTGACCAACATACGTTTTATCACAATTTTTGCACGGAATACTATATACCACATTCATTCGAGATGTCAATGGAATTTTATCTTTTACTTTTGTGTATATGGACCTAATAGTGAGAACTGTTTTATTGGCTATTTTGATGTTGGGTATATTAACAAAAATTCTAACCAGTTTGGGTGTGATATCCTTTATGTAAGGCAATGATGTGTATAAAATTTGTTGTGGGGGAGTAACAGGCAATTGGATGTCAGTGGGAGTATGTTGAATTACAGGGGTGTCATCTTCCAGTGTGGCAGAGTTATTGAATAATATATTTTTTATTAAGCTCGGAGGGTATGAATTATCTATGAATAGTTGTAAGAGAATATTGAGGTTTTTATTGTGAAACGAGGTGTCTGAGATTTTTAATACTCTATTTTTCATCTGTTTGATCAAGTTCACTTTCATTGACTTTTTGTGATAGGATAGATAATTTATATATCTCCCTGAGTTGCATGGTTTCCTGTACCAATCAATCAAGATACTGTTGTCTGCAGTTCTAATGAACCTTGTGTCCAGAAAGGGTACGGATTGCTGGTTGTCTTCAATTTCTATTGTGAACTGAATGTAGGGATCAAAACTATTGAAAGTATCAAGAATCTCACTTGTACACTCTTTTGGTAACGCTACAATTATGTCATCGACATATTTTTTGATAAAGAATGGTGTAAATGATAAAACTGGAATAACTGTATCCAATATCTCATCCATCACATAAGCTGCTAGTATAGGAGAAATGGATGCTCCCATGGGAGTGCCAAAGGTTTGTTTAAAAAACATGTTATTAAAAGAGAAATATGTGTTATCAATTTATCAATTAATTTATGCCTATTTATTGACATTAGACATCAACCCCTTCAGGGTTAATTCCATTGATAATTCTGAATTATAACTTCCATTTCATCATTTTCAAAATTGCCACAATTTTTACGGTTGGTACAATAGTTGGTACTACTGATAGTACTTGTCTTGTCAATACTGTCAACATTCTAACCTAATTTCAATTGTCATTCATTCATTAATTTTTTCATATCCGGCCACATGGTGTCCATGACTAGCTAGCTCAAGTTCAAGTTCAAGTTCAAGTTTTTAACATGTGTGATTGTAACTTTACTACTGTTTTATTTTAATTGTTTAATTGTTTTATAACTTTACAAACAACTTCGTTCCTAGATGATGTATCACAATTCATTTTTGAAAATTATTGTTAACATCATAGTAATCATCCTCACGTAGATGTAAGTACAATTTAATTTTGACTTTTATATTATCACTGACAATAATTATTGTAGTATGCCCTGATGATGGAATCAATTAAATTCCGAAAGCTTGGATAATCTTCAAAGAGTTCTCTTTTACTTGCTGCAAAACCTCACTATTTACTAGTCGATACCTAACTAGTCAGCAACGACTACCCTTCTACTTATATATATATATATATATATATAAATAGATTCATCGAGAGATTCATCATCAATTACTAAATTAATCTAATTCTAAGATAGAAATCAGCTAATCAGCGAAAAAATGATTTGGTGAAAATCATCAGAGGTAAATTCAAAAACCTCTACATCTTCTGGTACAGAACGAACGTATACGCAGCTTTGGTCATCTGAAAAAATACGCATATCAAAACAGAATGAGCACTACAATCCAGACTTCAGACTAACGTTTACGAACATTTCAATATCGATCACTCGAAAATTGCCGATGGTAAATACAAGTGGTCTTTGCGCTCTGGCCATCACAATCAAGAGACTCCTCTTCACTTTAGAACTTTGTTCGTACCAGTTACTCTTGAATATTTCAACGCTCAAATTTGTGCTCTGAAAATACAAAAACAAATCTGAGATAGCAAACTTTGTCATTCTCAATAATATTTTATGGAGAACTTAGAATAAGGTATATGTGTCCAAAAATAGTTGATGATGGCAGTTCTCTCTATTTTCAGAACAGGAAGAGGTGAAAATAACCCAGGTAGGAGAGTGACCTAAGAAGTCGTCATATTGACGTCGGTTCTTCGTATATTTCGTTCACGGCGTCTCCGACCAAAATATGTTCTACAATCGATATGTTATTTCATGATGACGTCCAATTGACGTATAATACTGTGGAGGTAATTTTCCTTTCAAAAAATCGCGTAATGTTGCAAAAGCACAAACATTGTCTTGGATTAATGATGAACTCAAACAAATGCGTAATACTCTAAATGCCATACATGATGTTAATAAAGATGATTGTTCTTTGAATACATAGAAAATATTGAGTAATGAATACAAAACTCGAATCAAAATTTGTGAAACGATGCCTACAATAACTATTTATTGAACTCAACTAACGTCATGAGGGACAGTTGGCATTTGATAAATGATGAAGGGAATAGGAATTAAAAAAAAAACGATTGTGACAAAAGTATCGGTGTCACAGTTCAATAAATACTTCACTTCAATTGCTGAGATGATTTAAAGGTCACTGTCTAACATTCCTCATGAACCCACAGTTTATTTAAGAGAAATAAAAACTCCAGTTCATTCTTTTGCTCTGAATCCAGTGACTCCCAATAATGTCTATGATATTATACTCAAAAATTCCAATGCTTTTGATGCATATGAACTAAATAGCAAAATTATCAAATCAGCAGCGGATATTCTTGCCGAACCTTTAACGACTTTGATAAATAAATGTTTCTCTGTTGAAAGTGGGTGTTCCACCAACACTGTTTTAATTCCATATTAACGATTTGTTGGAAGCAACTTCATGTCCAGTACACAACTTCGCGGATAATAGTACCCCTTCATACCGCCTTCTCTTCCAAGGTTCCAATACCAGTCAGGCAAATCAGAAACAAACGAGGGAGAAATGTTGACAACATAAATATGGACTTGGCAACAATTCTCGAATGGGGATCCAATAACTTGGTAGATTTCAATGCAAACAAAACACAAGCATGCCGTTTTTCTAGAAAAGCCGATCTCACTGTGCCCAACATAAGCTTGTCAGGAGTAACCATACCTTTGAAGACATCCATTTCGATGCTTGGTATTACTATCAGCAATAACCTTTCTTGGTAAAATCACGTGAGATCAATTGCTAGAAGTGCATTCCAAAAACTTGGTTTTCTGTTTCGAGCCAGGAGCTATTTCACTTCCAGTCAGCTGCTTATGATCTATAAGGCACAGATCCAACCTGTTCTGGAATACTGTTTCCATATTCGGAGTGCAGCACCCAAAGATACCCTGAAACTGTTGGATTCTTTCCAAAAAAAGGGCACTTTGTCTCGTGGGTGATGCCTCGCTCACAAACTCACTCACTTCTCTGGAACACCAAAGAAAAATTGGCGATCTGGCTCTATTTTATAGATATCTTCATGGACGATGCTCTTCTGAAATATCAACAATTGTTCCTCCCTTGGCAGGTTGAGTTGAGGCTTCGCACCCCTTCGTGGTCACTTTGGAGACCTGCAGAACATCTCTTTCCAAAGACTCGTTCATCCAACTATTAGCGAGGCTCTGGAACACATTGCCAAGGGAGGTGTTCCCCGAGGCATATAACCTCCATGAATTTAAGAAGAACGCCAATTCCTACCTCATTTCCCTTGGTTCTCACGATGTTCTCTAAACATTACAGGATATTCTTTTTCGTGGGAACCAGAACATTAAAAAAAATGCTTCGAAATACACAGTTGTTTTGCCGGTATTGAAAAAGACATGAAGAAACAACTCAATAACTTTTTTTTGGAAAAAAAAAAGGAACGAAACTCAATAATTTTGAATCATTAGAAAACAACAAACTTATCAGAAATTTTGACATTTCACTTAACGATCAATTAGACCTCAATAGTTCACCACTGTTGAATTTGTTTTCTTAGTAGATAATAATATTTATTTGCTATCAACCCTCCCAAGTTTATCTGATACACCGTATTTTATTGTAGATATTGTGCCTAATTTCTGAAAATGTAGGTTTATCGAACCTGTCCATATAGTCTAAGATCCGAACCTAAAGCGACCTTCACCGAGCTGATAATAGAACGAAATATATTTTATCATGAATTTAGTATATTAGAAAACATATTAAAAATGGGTTGGCTAAAAAAATCCTGGGCAGACTATTTTTAATTATTTTTCGAAAAATTATTTTTGATTAAATGTTGCAACATCAGGATAATAAAAAAATTGTGTCCTGACTGAAAGTATAAAACGTATAGAATGTGCAGCCGTTGGGTTGTCTACTATTTACCTGGGCGAACTACTGGGTTGTCAGGTAAACACAGGTATATCGATGCCAGTTACTTTCACTGGATTGGATAATTTAAAAAAATTTATATCATCATAAGCGCTGTTTAATTGCGAACACGTTGATATAGGGTTGTCTGCGAAAATTCCGGTCCTATTAGGGGTTTGCGAATTTTAAAGATTTTAATTTCAACGCGCGTGGAAGTGTGTGACAGAGAGATCCGAGGTAAGTATACTGTGTAATAATAAAGGACCCAACATCGCAGTCGCTTGTGATGGGACCCTGAATAGTAGAAAGTGTGCGAAGTGTGCGAAGTCAAATCCTGAAAACTATGGTTGGCATTTTGATGATTTCTTAAAACCAACAGGTTTTATCGAAGATCAAACTCCTTTGAAAATCCAGGACATTGTCGAAATGGAAGCAAATGAGGAAGAATCTAATGAATCAGACGAATTCGAGAGTCAAAATGATACTTCTGATGAATCAGATATTGAATAGAAAATATTTATTAGAATTTATTTTTCATTAATATTATTTTTGCATTTATACTGTTTTTTAATAAAATTTCAAATCGTAATACAAGATGTCTAGTCTATCTTTTTTGTTATTTCTTAATTTAAAGTTTTGGCGGTCCACTTTGTTTCTATTTCCAGAAAGAGCAAAAAAATTTCAAAGTGAGTATTTGATATTTTTATTGTCTATTATAGATTATAGATATATCATTATGGTTATAACGCAATATATTGATATTATATTGTTTTTATATATTAGTATTATATTAAATATATTTAATTATTATGTAATTAATTAATTATTTTTTTTGCTACTGAAATATCAGTTGCTCCAAAATAACACGCACTGTTTACTATATGAAGGGTAGTAGAGGTACCTCTACCCTCCATAGTTTACACACCGAGCATGCGCACTTTCTACTATTCAGGGTCCCATCACAAGCGACTGCGATGTTGGGTCATTTATTATTACACAGTATACTTACCTCGGATCTCTCGGTCACACACTTCCACGCGCGTTGAAATTAAAATCTTTAAAATTCGCAAACCCCTAATAGGACCGGAATTTTCGCAGACAACCCTATATCAACGTGTTCGCAATTAAACAGCGCTTATGAAGATATAATTTTTTTTAAATTATCCAATCCAGTGAAAGTAACTGGCATCGATATACCTGTGTTTACCTGACAACCCAGTAGTTCGCCCAGGTAAATAGTAGACAACCCAACGGCTGCACATTCTATACGTTTTATACTTTCAGTCAGGACACAATTTTTTTATTATCCTGATGTTGCAACATTTAATTAAAAATAATTTTTCGAAAAATAATTAAAAATAGTCTGCCCAGGATTTTTTTAGCCAACCCATTTTTAATATGTTTTCTAATATACTAAATTCATGATAAAATATATTTCGTTCTATTATCAGCTCGGTGAAGGTCGATTTAGGTTCGGATCTTCTACTAATAGTAAATAATCCTTCAAGTTGGAGAAGTAGGATATAAAAAGTTAAGAAAGCCAACGTTGGTTTATATCATTGTACCAGTATACCACCTGACGAAGCTACTGTGTTAGCGAAACATGTTGTGTGTTTGAAAATTTTGTGGAAATTTTATCATTTATGAAGTTTTTACATTTATTTCTATATCTTTCTGATAGAAAATGCACTGTTGTGCCCTGGTCAATTTGGTTTTAGAAAAAACTTCTGTGATAGACACTTCCTAGTTATACTTTTTATACTTTTTGTGTAGTTTTGTAGTTTTGTGATTATATACACTTCTGTTTTGTAAAGTACTATCTTATCTGACGATCTATTTATCTATCTTTTTGTATTTTTTTGAGGAGAGAAAATCTTGCATAAGACCCCGTGTGTGCCGGGATTGTCGGATTCCTACCGACTAAAACCTCTCCTCATTCTAGCTTCCTCTTACTGGGACCGCTTTCGCATTGCTTCAGTAAGAGTGCTGTCATATTATCGCATCAGTAAGTTCACCTCTATCTGTCCCTTTCTCTGTCTTCGTTCTCTTTGGTTTCTATTATATGCCTTATAACTGTATATGCTCGTTTCCATCCTCCTTCACCCGAAACAAGAGATGCCATCATGCTCACCATTCCAAATTGTGTTCCTGCGCTTATCAAATATTCTTTGACATTCAAATAACGTGTGTTTGACATCGTCTTGGTCACCACAGTAAGAGCAGCTATCACAGTCCTTTTTCCCACGCTCGTACAGGTATTTTCTAAAAGAGCCGTCCAGGGAGTGCTTGCGTTATGTAGTAATCTACTTCGCCGTACGGCCTATCGATCCATTCATCTATTCTGGGTAAGTATCAGCTGATGTGTCCATCTTCCAAATTCACCCTCATAACACCTCATCTGCCAACGTGTCATGAGGTTTTTTTTCGCGCTGACCCCAGCTATTCCTCCGGAATTTTCTCTCCTCTCATCGATCAGTAGCTCGATTGGAGGTACCCCGGCTATTACCCCTGCTCCTTCTGAAGATATTGTTCTATAGGCCGAGCAAACTCTTATACACAGCTTACGTTGTAAGCTTGTCAGTTTGGAAACCAGTTTCTTATT